GGGAGGCGGGGAGGAGGTGGAAATCTTTTTTTTTTCAATAAAAAAATTATATTAAAAAAAAAAGAAAATGCCCTACAGTCTTACCTATAGTTTGTGTCAAGTTGACACAAAACTATCCCCTTGCCAATTTGACACACAAACACATCACGGATGAGACACAACCTTTCCTTTCTCTTTCATCTTTAAGATCTCCCATTAAAAATCATAAATAACTTTAAAAGTCCCACAGTCTTTACAAATTCAAACACTTCAAAATTCAGTCTTTTCAAAAATTCAAAGTCTCTTTTAAAGCCCCCAAGTCTCTTTAAAAATTCAGTCCTTTAATGGGCTCCTGTAAAATCAAAAATAAGTTAAATAATTCCTTATTTCGAGAGGGAAGCACCAGGCTACAGTTGTAATCTGAACAAAGCAAAACCAAGTTCCAACAGTGTAACTAACTCAATGTCCAGTATCTCGGATTCACTCACAATCTTCTGGACTCCTCCAAGGGGTCTCTGCAACACACACAGTTTGTCTTCTAGGCTCTGGCTGTTCTTGGTGGGCTTCCCACGCTACTGGCATCTCCAAAATGCAGGGGTCTCTGCTGCAACTGGCCTGCACTTTTACCAACAGCTCCTCCTGGGCTCTCTGCATGGTGTTAAACCTCAACCTCTGTGAATGACCCCTTAGTCTTGGACCTTCAACAATGGCCTCTTCTGGCCTGTCACACTGTGAAACCTCAGCTGCTCTCTATGGCTTCACAACTTGCATAGACAACACCTAGTGTGTTTAAGTAGCATAAATGAACTTGCACACGTGAGGTTGTGTTGGTGATGAGATGTGTGTGCCCATGTGTATGCCTGTGTGGACTGTACACTTGTGGTGGGCTGATTTCGTCTATGATCATGTGTGATTATATGTGACTGGGATGTCTATGTGTGACTGTGTGTAGTTTCCTATGGCTGTGTGTGTGACCTACATGTGTGATTGTGGATATCGGACTGTGTGGTTGTGAGACTATGTGAGACTGTGGGTGCGGGTTTGTTATATAACTGTGTGGTTTATGTGGGGTTTTTTTCTGGTTGTATATAATTTTATGTGTCTGAGAGTCTACATAGGTGAGACCATGCCAGGGTATGGCTGGATGAGTGACTATGTATGGTTGTGTGTGGCAGTATTTGTATGAATATGTGTGTGAGACTCTACACCTGTGAGATTGTGGGGGGTGACTGAGTGTGAGCCTTGGTAGCTGGTTGTGTGGGGTTGTATGTGTGACCACATGTGTGTGTGTGTGACTATGTCTGATTGTACATATCCACCTGTCACTTCCTCCTGCTGAGGCTGTTTAGAGCTGTGTGACCAGCACTCTGCTCCTTTCGTTCTATTTTAATTGTTATCTGAAAAATTTTCACAGTGAGGAAGCCAACTGCCCATTTCATTACGATATATTTTAGACAGGCAGAAACTCAATTCACTCGCTCAGACTCCAGCTAAGTAAGTAAAACACAGCGAAGATAGAGAGTGGTTAATAAATAATTCGCCCGAGGGCATCCAGTAGAATATTTTCTGCAAACATAAGACTTTATTTTTCCCCTAACAGGGGGTCTTGACTCCGACGAAGAGACTCCGCCAAGGTTTATGGAGGTAATTAGATATCAACATTTTGCATTTTACAATTTGGTTTCGGCTCTGGGTCCTCCAGGAGTGAGCCAGCACTGTCTGTGTGCCTGGCACCCATGCTTGCTCTCTGGGGCTCGGGAATGCAACACAAGAGTAATAAAGAGTCCCGCATGTAGGAATTAATATTTTGTAAGAAGAAAGTGGACAGGAAGAGCCAGTCGGCACACAGATGCAGGCCTTTCACACACAATCAACTAGGCCTTGCTAGATGTGACAATGGACCTCAGTCAGGAGGTCAAGGATTTTCCTTCCAAATTCATCTTTAATATGAAATTAGGACTTGGACCTCCAAATAAGCGGGAATTACAGTGTGGTTCCAGCGAGAACAAAGGCGTCCCAGGAAACGGCAGCTGAGACAGAGCTTTATTGAGGGAACCGAGCAGCTGACACCTCCACACCGTCTCCCATTAAATACCAGCTCATTTAAACATATCCCGTGGTGCCCTCCACATCTGGTAAGCGATTGGAGCTGGCAGATTTATTTCTACATCTTTCTCTCCTGTCTGCCCTCACGGTAGCCTCCTTCCCTGCTTGGCGGGGGCCACTCCCTTTCTTCCGCAAACCTGGTGTGATTTGCAAAGATAAGCCTGGCCAGATTTTGTTACTACCTAATTACTAGATGTTTTGTGTCGTCTTGCGGGCAGAGGGGGGATTATTACCCGCGCTTCCCTTTCATTGCAGCCATCATAAATCTAAACTGGCAAGAGTAAATCTGTCTGCGGCATGTCACTTACACCGTAAGCCCCTGTGCTTGGGAGTGATAAAGGGTTCAAGCTAACCCTTGGCTGGTCTCGTTCTTCAAAGTCCCAGGGGTTACATTTTATGGAAGTATGATTAAAAAAATAATAAACTGCATTCTGGGTCACCAAAACATTTCAGGACTTAAGGTGGAGAAGAAGAGAAAGAAAATAGTCCTTGGCACATTCTTTATTTATTTATTTACTCTTAGCTGCTTTACTAAGGAGGCAACCCCTGGCCCCGGTCCCCAATACCAGGAACATTGGGAAGAGAATCCTCCGGAACAAGCTGTAAATCTTGTTTTGCCCAGAAAACCCTTTGTCTTTTCTTAGCACTTCTCTTAGAAACAGTTAGTTGTTTATCCAACTCCAGCACAAATATGTTGAAAACACCACAATGTTTTCAGATGTCTTTTTCGTCGATTGAATAGTCTAATGGCAATCAGAAAGAAACGCCATCTGATGTGTAAATTGAAATTCTAACCGAAAGAGGCATGGCCAGATTTCCAATACGCGCTAACTACAGTCCTTCCCTTTCTGCAATTACGCTGCTAATGTCTGCATTGAATTCCCTAATTTCTCATTATAAAACAATTGGATTTCATCTCGCGGCCTTTAACTGCATTGTTTCCCCTGCTAGAATAACTGTGCTCTCCTCTCCATGAGACTTTGAAGTTGTTGAATTACAAATCAATAAAGGTCATGCCATTCAGATTTCATCAATTATTATTCCATCTCCGAGTGAAATCAATGGGGAGCCTAAGGTATAATTGTAAAATCACTCTATATTACTCTAGACAGTCCCCCCCCCACCCCGAAACAATTCCCCATGATCACACATGTAGAAAGATCTGGAAAAATTAATGAAGCCAGGTTGTGCACACTGATGTTTCTCATAGTACATCTAGTCAAAATTAGTAATTTTAAGAGTTACTGTATGTGTGTGTGTGGGGTGTGTGTGTGTGTGTGTGTGTGTGTGTGTGTGTGTGTGGTTGATGTTGTCTGCAGAGACCAGAAGAGGGTGTTGCATCCTCTGTATCTGGAGTCACAGGTGGCTATAAGTTACCTGACCTCAGACCTGAACTGGGGTTCCCTGTAGGAGCTTTTAAATGCTGAGCCCTAAATAAATCAAGATGATTTTCAGTTGGAGCCTTGGGGAGATTTCAGATGGCGTAAACAAAGGGACAAGTGGAAAATATCAAATTAAATCCAAACCCACCTGTGGGACTCCGAAGACACCACGATGACACGGGCAGGGGCTGAGCGACACAAAACGTCCTGCAGGAGTTGGACAAGGTAGAAGTGTCCCAGGTGGTTGACCTGGAAGGTCGTCTCCAGGCCATCTTTCGTGAGGGTCCAGGGTAGAGCGAAAGTCCCCGCATTGCACACAAGCACATGAAGAGACCTACACAATGAAACAGACAGTATCAGGCACAGATCGATGGTCTTAAACTAGGTGCCATCTATGTCCACTTAGAAATAACCCATTTCTCAGGGTTTTCAAGAGTCTATCCAGTGAGAGATGAGAGACTCCAGGATGTTGTATCAGTCTGAATGGGTCATTCCCTCAAGGTACAAGCAACAAGAAGTTCACAGGACACAAGACACGCATGTTAACCCAGAACCATAAGGAGTAGATCAGGACAATGGTGGCTCGCTGGAGTTGGAACAAACAGTCTCTAGTTAACTCTGCCTTTTAATACCAACAATTAGTAACACTTTTAAGTTCAGTCAAAATAGCCCACCAAATACCCACGAGGAGCCTGTTCATTTCCTTTCTTTATGAAAAAGACACACCACAGGAAAAGCTGACAATGGGGCCTGATGCTTAGTAGGTACTAAATAAACCCATCAAGGGGAAAATGTTCTGTTTATAGAGACAGTCAGATATTGGAATATATTCCTTCTAGAAATGCTTGCCTAGCCTGGACTTAGACCAGGTTTCATTCTCAGTACCACATAAGCCAAGCATGTTTTAACCCTAGTACTCAGGAGGTAGAGGCAGGAGGATCAGGAGTTCAAGGTCATCTTTGACTACAAAGTGGCTTCCAGGCTAGCCTTGGGTACATGAAACCCTGTCTCGCTCTGTGTATGTGTTTGTGTGTGTGGACACACATGCATAGGTATGTATCTTCATTTTAGGTTCAGATTAAATCTTCCTGTTAGAAATGAGCCTGGGGATAAGAAAGAAGAGATGTGCTGTAAACACAATTCTAACACTAGAGGTAACCCTTCATTTGATTGAAAGTCCTAAATCCTAATAAATACATTTTCTGTAAAAAGAAATCCTAATGAACAGATACTACACAATGGTAGGTCCTTAAGGCTCTCTACTGTATTTGTAACTGAAACTTAAAAGCAACAAATTAAACTGGGGGAAATTGTCCTGTGGAGTAGGCTGTAAGCAAACGGTCTGAAGCCCACAGCACAATAACAAGCAAATCCATTTTGTTTTAGAATCCATTATGAAGCAAAATATACATTACAGAATCACACACACACACACACACACACACACACACACACACACATCCCAATAGGGTGGAGGGAACCTGAGTGACAGGTGGGAAAGCTTAGAAAAGCTAAGGATCAAGAACAATCTTAGGAAGCCAGGAGAATGATGAGGAGGCCCCCACAGCCACCCAGATGGAGTCCACCTGTAGACACCTTGGCTTCAGACTTTTTGTTCCGAGAACCATGAGAAACTATGAATTTCTTGCTTTAAGTCACCCAGGTTGTGATGATCTACCTTAGGAAATCAACACTTTCCAAGACACTTACCTAAGGAAAGAGTCCAAGTGTATACATAAAGATGTTAATAATTACACAGATGAACATAACTTAAAATTAACTATAAACTAGAAGTCACCCATGCATGATCCTCAATACAAGAAGAGATAAATACACAACAGAGAATTGAGGGGCTCCCCGACCTTCCCAGGCGAACTGAAAAGGTAGGTGTGACTAGGTGTGTCATACAGCTTTCTCCAAAAAGAGAAACATCAGTGCAAATGTCGTGGCTCACGCCTGTCATCTCAGCACTGAAGAGGCGGAGGCAGGTGCCAGTGGGGGCCACACAGCAGACTCTAGGCCAACCTGGCATACAGAGTGCAATCCTGTCTCCAAAAACAAAACTCAGAACCAAGGCTGCCAGGACAGTGGATAAACACATTTGTAACCAACTCAGATGACCTGAGTCTGATCCCCCAGAACCCACATGGTGGAAAGACAGAACAGACTCCTGCAAGTTGTTCCTGCCTCCACACACCAGCCTTGGCACACACCCACTCATCCACATACATGCACACACATCTGAGGGAACACGCACGAACAGATTAATATGTGGTAACATAAAATCAAAACAAAACCAAAAGCAAGACAAATGGAATATCTCCCTATGCATTCACCAAGAAACAAAATACAGAAAAACATTAGTGCTGAGTATGGACAGGGTGGTCACATTCTTTTTTCCCTATTAGGCATTTGTTATTTTTCCACTTTTTTTTTAATCCTGAGATTATAGTTCACATCTAGTGTAATTCCGAGTTGAGTAACCATCACCGATTCTAACTTTACAGAAATTTTAAGTATAAAAAGAAACCCATCAGCTGTCATGAGTTGCATGGTACCGACCCACACACACAACAAATATACTTTCTACTCTATAGATTTGTCAAACACCATCATCTCATGTAAACAGGATGATAGCTGGTCTTTTATGACTATCTTCTTTGACCTGGTATGATGTTTGGGGTTTCGCACTGTACCAAGAATGGGCACTGCCCTCCCTCCTGAGCCTGAGATGTACTCTGCTGCGTGCACAGACAGCATCACGCTTGCCCGTTCATCCTCTGATTGACAGATGGGTTGCTTGCAGTATCAGGCTAATGTGAACAGAGCTGCTGTGGACGTTGCTTTGCCGGTTCTTCTGGAGATGTGTCTGTTTATTTCTCTCAAGTACGCACTGGCAAATGGAACCGCTGGCTCAGAATAATGCTGTGTTTAACTTTTTTTTTTTTTAAAGATTTATTTATTTATTACGTATACAGTATTCTCAGTATTCTTCCTGCAGGCCAGAAGAGGGCACTAGATCTCATTACAGATGGTTGTGAGCCACCATGTGGTTGCTGGGAATTGAACTCAGGACCTTTGGAAGAGCAGGTGGTGCTCTTAACCACTGAGCCATCTCTCCAGCCCCCTGTGTTTAACTTTTGAGGCGAATCAAACTGAACTGCGGTCCAAAGTGGGACCCTCACTAGTTGTGCGCTACACACATCTGCATCCATATGACACTTCCACCATCCATCTCTTCCTTCTTTTTGAAATTATTTCTTTTATTTTTGATATTATAATAGAATCATAACAGTTCTCCCTTCCCTTTCCTCTCTCCAAACCCTATCACACCCTTCCTTGCTCATTTTTGAATTCATGGATTCTTTTTCCATTAATTGTTGTTACAAACATACATAGACACACACACACACACATCCTAAATACACAAATACAACCTGTACAGTCTGAGTCTGTATAATGTTACTTGTAGGTGTATTTATTCAGGGTTGACCCTTTGGCATTTGATGACCAATTGGTGCTCCTCCCTGGGGAAGACAATTTCTGCCAATCTCAGCATTCCTGGGTTGCTTGTAGTTCCTTGTGTAGTGCTGAGGCCTAACAGCCTTTCCCTCAGCCATGTTAGCACCTCTATTGCTGTTTTCCTTGTTCAGCTCATGCTGGTGAGACTTCAGGGATCTAGCTCCTAGACGCTCCCTTATCCTCTGGCTCTTACAATCTCTCTGTCCACAGTGAACCCTGCACCACCCTAGCAAACATGAGTGACCATTTCTTTGTGGTTTGCATGTCCTGGCTAATGATATTGAGACTAGTTTGAGGTGTTCATTGGTAGTTAGCATATCTTCTTGGGAGAAAAGTGAGTTCAGTTTCTAGGCCCTTTTTGGAGCTTGGAGTTTTATCTTCTTACTATTGGACTATGAAAATTCTTTATGGATGATGCATGAAGCCCTTTCAAGGTAGACAGTTTTCAGATACCCTTCCCATTCTATAGGTTGTATTTATGTTTTCTTGACGGCATAATTGAAACACAAAAGCTTTTAATTTTAGTGATTTCTCATTTTGTTTTGGTTTGTTTTGAATTCCTCTTTTGTCACTTGTGCTTTTGGGGTTGGACTATGAAATCATTATCTACTCTAATGCCACAAAGATATTGTGATTCTGTCTTTTTTTTGTGGAATAAAGTAGTTTGGGTTTTATATTAGGTCATTGATTCCTGTTCCGCTAACTTTGTGTATGGCACATGAAAGCGATTCGGCTTCATTCTTTGTGGTGGGTACGCAGTGTTACTAGAACCATCTATAGAAAAGACTTACTTACCCAACTGAGTTACACAGCATTAAAAAAAAATAAATCAATCATGTGAGGGTTTAATTCTAGACCTCAATTCCATTCAGTTCTCGAATGTCCGTGGCCATGACAGAGTGTGTTTTTAATTACTGGGAAGAGGAAGGCTTCCCACTTGATTTCCACTCTTGGTTTGTCTACTCAGTGTCTTTTTCATTCTTATATGAAGTTCAAGACCAATTCCAGTTTTAAAGGAAACTGAATCCACCCTGTAGATGAACCTGAGGGACAAAGAGTCACACCTTCCAATCCATGAACATGGTCTACCTCTATTTATTTGAGTGTCCTTTAATTTCTTCCAACAACGCTTTATACATTCAGAAGTCTAAGCTTCCCACATTTTTGTTAAATTATTTTAAAAGTTTCAAAACTGCCTCTTGATTTTCTTCTTTCTGATGTTGCTGCCCGCAAGCAAAATTGTTTTCTTCAGTTCCTTTTGGAGGTGTTGTTGCTCCCACAGAGAAACAAACTCATTTCTACATACTGAGTGGTCACCCTGCAATCCAGCTGAAACTGGCGTGAGTTTTAATACTTCTCAATTTGATTTCTTAAGATGTTATAAATGCAAAGTCATTTCATCTCCAAGGAAGGCAGTTTTAATGTTTCCTTTCCCATTAGAATGGGTTCTGGCTGCTAACACCACTGCCTGTTTCTGGGTGTTAGGGAGAAAGCATTCACGTCATATCGGCTGTGGTCTTTCGGTATACATTAATAAGGTGAAAAACTGCCTTTTTTGATCCCCATTCTACTGAGTATTTTTTTTAAATCAAGAAAGGATACTTAACTATTTGCAAATAATTTTTCTATATCCATCCAGATGACCTTATTCTTCTGACCTGTAATTCTTTCATTGATTTAATTTTGAAAACTTACTTTCGACTTCCTTACATATCATAAGTATACAATCTTTTTTTTTTTTTTTTACATGACTGCATTTGGTTTGCTGGCATTTTGTTGAAGTCCCTATGTCTATTCTTGTGTGACACTGGC